GTCAGTGATAGAGTTAGCTGGGGGTTGCTGCTGAGGCTGGGGTTGAGGTGCCCATCCATGGGTGGTCCGTGGGAGGATGCAACAGTAGGTCTGCAGTGCGAAGTGAAGGGTGACACTGAGAGGGGGAAGTGGTCGGGCAGATATGCTTTTTTGGAGAAAACTGGGGACATGATCCCTAGTTAACCCTCTTTCTTCAAGTTTTGAACTTACTTATGAGCCTCCCAAAACTTCTGGTTTAAATACCCAGTTATGGTAACTGTAGCTTCATTCTGATTGGTGTGTAAACTTTTTGTTGTTGCATTTATGCAGGTGGATGTTTGGTCAGCTGGTGTAATGTTTTATCAGATGCTATATGGGAGGCGTCCTTTTGGCCATGACCAGACCCAAGAGAGAATACTTCGAGAAGATACAATTATCAATGCACGCAAGGTGGAATTCCCTTCAAAGCCAACTGTATCAAACGAGGCAAAGGTATGCTTCCTGTTTGTTCATATGGCATATTTTACCTTCTGAGCCATCACTTGTAGCAGTGGTTTCCCTTCTAGTTATTCCCTTGCTAGATTATGTACATGTGACATGAGACCACGAGTTTGGTTTCAAGTATGCGCGCAAGGTGGAATTCCCTTCCAGTGATTCCCTTGCTAGATTATGTACATGTGACGGGAGACCACGAGTTTGGTTTCAAGTTTGTTCTGTAGACTGCCATGAATTGCGTAAAAACTGACTGAGGGAATGTTGCTAGTTTGGAAATATTTTGATCTTGCAATACAAATAACCACACATCAAACTTCTTGTATTAATGCGAAGCATCATTGCTCCTATCTATTGTGACTTGTAAGTCAATTTGTGATTTTTACTTCCAACTTATGCAGGAACTGATACGCCGTTGCTTGACATACAATCAATCGGAGAGGCCAGACGTACTATCAATAGCTCAAGATCCTTATCTCTCTTATGCAAAGAGGTAGACACTACACGTCTACGCATGGCTACACTACAAGACAAAGGATTTTTTGGAGGTTGGGCAGCCACTCCCAAATGGTGTAACTGTACATATTGTAAATTTCGGGTTGGTCTCGTAAACTGCGATGATCCAATGTCTGCTCTTTTCAGTTTAGAGGAAGTAGAGCATCGGTTTTGAGGGGCATGCACTTCTCTTGATGCTCTTGTGCCGCCCCTCCTTGTGTAATGTGATGTTTGTTTTTGCTAGAGACCCTGCTGATGGTTCCTTTAAAGGCTGTATTTATTCCTACGGTCCACTAGAGGGACTGGGCTCTGCCAAACACGCATTCATCAGAGATAGGAACCGTCGATGTTCACAAAAACCTTTGTGATGCACTATGTCCGCCCGGATATGTACGTTCTATCTCAGTTGTCTAAATTGGGTGTGGTTAGTTCAAGCTTTGATCAACAACTACTTCCTCAGTTCGGGTTTACTGGGCCTCTTTTTATTTCGGGTCGAAGTCCACCCATTAATTTAACTAATGAAATATAAATTATGTGTAACAAGTGGAAACCCTATTTAATACAAATTCAACAGTATAATTTTCATAGCATATACCTTATACTTCATTAGTCATATAGATCAAAGTTTGACCAAAAATATGAGGAACTTGATAAACATGGATGGAGGAAGTAACTAAATAAGAGTGGCTTATTTGATATACAATAGTGTTATTATGTATGTATTTCACCTTTATATGGTTTTGATTTTGCAACTATTAACAAAATATTTTAGAAGAGATTTATGTGGTCAAATTGTTTTATAGTGGCCCTGATGTGTAATGTCAATTTAATCGTGGGGCATGATTATCCAAAAAAAATCCTAGGGCATGAGGAATATTGCGGCTGGAATGCATGTAGAGGGTATTTTATATATGCGCAAAACCGAGTTTTCTTTAGTTCAAAATTAAATGTTTCAACTCTTAAAGTGTGATGTATTTTACGATATATCTTCACATTTACTCCCTCCGTCCCATAATTTAGTTTTGTGATGAGCTTAAACTGCATCCTATATAGACAAGTTTGAGTTATTTCTGTTTGAAATGTTACTAGAATATCACTTAATATACTGTATGTAGGTTGGTTTAAGAAATCAATTGATGTGTTTTGTTTTAGCTGTATTCATAGTGGAGTCTTCAGTGTGTGTGTGTACATGTGTAATAACTAATTGCATGAAAACACTAGCATGAACCCTGCTAAACCTTGTCTTATAACTGAAGTTACCACCATGATGGCGATATCATTACCATACTGTTAGAGCATCTCTAGCGGCTCATATATATGATCCTCTGAAAAAACGTGTTTTGTAATACATGTTGTATGTTGCTATTGAGCTGAATGAATTTGGCGCTTTGTGCACCTTTAGTTGTTCAAATCACATGGCCCATTTGGTAAGCAACCTGAAAACAAATAGATAAATCAGCGTTGACATCGTTGAAATCTAGACGATGTGTCCACACCGTCCAAACGCCAATTCCCTTTCCTGCCGCCACCATTTGGAGCAGGTGAAGCACTAAGATGATGCCACATTACTCTGTGCGCAGAGACAAGGAGGGGGAGCAAGGGGCATTGATTCGTGCTATCGGGGAGGGAAAGAGGAAGAGGCATGTGAGCTGGCAAGGTGGGAGCAAGGTCGTTGAGGTGAGGGGCGAGGAGGACCTAGGACGGAGGATTGTCGCCACCGTCTATAGCCAGAGATACATGATGACCGCGTTCAGTATGCTTATATATGGGCCAGATCACAATTAAAAAGAAGAAGGGATTCTCAAAGAAGAACCTCATAGATTCATTGATAATCTTGCCAATCCATTGTAGAAGCTTCATTTTCTCTAAATAAAGATACCACTGTGTATAAAGTTGATGGGTCATATGGGTGCAGTGAGGAGGATTGTGGGACATGAGGGAAATCGAGTGCGCCGTTGAGTTTGACCGGTCGGCGCTGGGGGCGAAGAGGGCGGTGCCCAGCCGTTGTTAGAGAATCTTCAAATGAACCATTGAAACCGTTCCTATATGTCCGAGCAAACAGGTCGAACAATGTAAGGATAAAATAACCTCTCCAACGGAGGCCACCCAAATTCCCTCCATTTATCTGGATTGCTAGCTGCTACGAGCTCTTATGTTTCTTTACGGAGGGACATACATGTCGGCCCGGCGTCTTATTTAATTTATTGTATAAAATGTTTGTGTTGAACGGGGATGATAAAGAGCTCACGAGCATTTCCAAAATGAAGTTGAAGTGGTGATTATAGCATATTATTAAAATATCAAAGAGAATATAGAGGTGAATGAGATATTGGCAATGAATCTTCTCAGACCACTGTCTGTATAAAAATTTGGACAACCAAATATGAACAAGCTGCTCTTAGCATTAGTACCATGACACTCGCATTTGCACTTGACGATTTGATAACAGTTACCATTGTAGTAGTACTGTGCTTACTAGCACTCAATAGCAGCTTTTGGAGACAAGTTCTATTTTTCTTAAAGAAGGATAACCCTATCTTTGCATCGAGTGATGCACACAACTATCTTTATTGCATTCTTTAACAATATCTTACAAAATAAATACAAGAATCAATCAAAGCCATCTTCCTGGCGAAAATTGTCGCCCTACTTACAAGGTTGATGATGTGTCTTGACCTCACGTCAACGCACACCATGCAATCTGGTGGCCTCACCAAGCCGTCCGTCGGCTAGAAGGGAGCACCAACCGGTCTAGCAGACCCTCAAGGTGCACCACATGCGCATGTTATAGAAACTGTCGTTGCCATCTTCTGCCACCCCATATTCAGGAGTAATCAATGCATTGACCTTGCCAGACCCTTCTACTGTCGACGCCACCACAACGTCAGACAACATCACTGATCACCCTCCTGCGCACGCCCATCAAACGATATCCAACACCGATACCCTGCTGCACCTTGCCGCCAAGACTCGCCGATGTCGGTACTGTAGATGGCATACCACTCCACCTTGGTCACTGCACGAGAAGCATGCGAAAACCTGCGCCCAGCCATCGAAGCCAAACAATTTTCCTCCAGGCGATGTACAACCCCAAAGATGATGCCCTCATGGGGGTGAGGACGCAGTAACCTCACCTTAATCCGACCCGGAACCCGAATCTAGAGTTTCCCCCAAGGCACACAAGAGTGCAAATCGCCCAACGACGCCTCCAACGAGATAACGACGCCCACGGACGCCGCTGTCGGAAGTTTCGGCTGAGGCGAAAGCAAGTTTTCATTGGCAACCTCACGCCCATCACTAGCTGGTCCACCAGATCCTCCTCCACCATCATCCAGCACACCCCATGGGGACGTCCCTGCCGCTGAAAACCGCCCACAACCGGAGCCGCAACGATGTCACCACCCGGAACCGCCGCCCTTCCTGGGTGAGCCATCGACGGCGGAAGAATCCATATCGCCGCGCCACGGACGCCGGACGATGCACACGTCGAACCAGGACACCTGTGCGGATCTCCACCGCGACTGTGTCCCGGAGCCATGGCGGAGGAAGCCCCCCCCCCCTCCCCCCCCACCCGGCCGCCATCATCCGCTGCCTAGCTTTGCCCCGCGTCGCTCCGGCGGCGACCAGGAGAGGGGCCGCGGCGGCCGAAGCCCTAGATTGGATCGAAAGGAAGGGGGTCGGGAGGGAGGGAGGAGAAGGAGCTTATTTTTTGAAAAAAAAATTGGAAAACAGATTTTTAAGTGTCAAGAAATTCTGAATCATACACGTTCATATTGATGTGTTTTACATGTGTGTAAAGTCTTATGATGGAATACATTATGGTGAGAGCTACACAAAAAAGACAAATTCATGCATTTTCATAGAGAATAGTGCATGTACTGTTCATCATTTGAAAAATCATGATTTCCCCCTTTTTTGTAGCTCTGACCATAATGTATATCATCTTGTCAGTTTACACACATGTACTTTACATCTGTATGAATGTGTGATCTTTCTAGGGTTTTATGGAACTTGAGAATGAGATTTTTTCAATTTTCAAAATAAAGGGCTCCATGGAGCTCGTCCTCCATTTAGCATTTTCGCTTGTAACAATATAGGATCCTAAGTTTTATCATGGTGGCAATTTTTTTTTGCGGGGATGGCAAGTAACTAATTATCAATGATTTTTAGTATCATCTTACTACTAGCAATGAGGATACATTTACCATAGCTTCTGTATATTGTAGTATCATCATAATAGTGAGGATACATTTGCCACAAGCAGTGTATATTATAGTACCATCATATAATAGTGAGGATACATTTACCACACCGCTCCGTCTGGTGAAAAGTATCACCATGGTGTGCTGATGAATATTACCACCACGGTAACTTGTTCTATAAAGAATGGCAACTCGCGCGGTGCCACGGTAGAGCCATGGCGCGCAGGAAGCAAGGTCCACGGTTCATGTGCGCTCTGCGCGCTTCTTGACCGCCATCACATGCTGCTGTGTATCGCCACCCCGTCCCCTTGCGAGGCCCCCTCGGTGGTGAGGCCGAAGCCGAGCGGGAAGAGCGGGTCGTAGTGCGCGTCGCCGACGTTCATCGGCAGCTGCTCCACCGACTTGAACCACGTCCGCGCCAGCCTCCCGGTGAACCCGTAGTCGCCGAACAGCGCGTCGGTCACGCCCTGCCCCTCCGAGCCGGGCAGCCACGCCGCCACCAGCGCGTCCGAGGCGGCTAGCAGCGGCTGGGCCACCACGGGCCGCCCGCTGATGAGCACCGTCGCGCACTGGACCGCGCCGCACACCGCCTCCACGGTGCTCAGCCCGGGCTCCGGGATGGTCAGGTTCAGGTTGTCGCCCGCTGTCTCCGTGTACGGGTGCTCGCCCACCGCCACGATGGCGTAGGAGAAGCCGCCCTTCTTGACGAACTCCGCGTCCGGGTTCTCCGCGAACACCACGGTGGTCGACGGGTCCACGGCCGCCCTCACGGCGTCGAGGATGGTGGTGCCCACGGTGATGCGCCCGGAGTCGCCCTGCCACTCGATCGTCCAGCCGCCGCACTGGTAGCCCAGGTTGTCGGCGTGGCTGCCGGCGACGAGGATCTTGGGCGCCTTCTTGGACAACGGCAGCATTGGCCCGTCGCTCGTCTTGCCATTCTTCAGGAGCACCAGCGACTTCCTCACGGCCTCCCTCGCCAAATCTCTGTGCTCCTGCATATACCAAGTAGCAGCACACCATAAATTCAGAATTCAGGAGGTGAAGCAACATTTTTGAATTCGCTAGCAAATCATAACTGAACTCAAATTTCAGAATACGGCATCAGAGTTTCATCGGTCAGTAGAGTACCTGCTTGCCTAGCTGCTCAGCCATGGCGGGATCGGCGTAGGGGTTCTCGAACAGGCCCATGGCGAACTTGACGCGCAGGATCCGGGTGACGGCGTCGTCGATCCTGCTCATCGGGACTACTCCGCTGTTGACGTAGCCAGTCAGGATGCTGATGAACTGCGTGTAGTTCTTAGGCACCATGATCTGCAACATCACGGAAAACATCGATCTCAGCAAGCAGCACTGTATTCACAGAGAGACACAATCTTCTTCCACAGAGAAGAAAGTTTTGCTCACCATGTCAAGGCCAGCAAGAATGGAAGCCTTGACCGAGTAGGGGTAGTCCGCCCCATAAGGGGTGGTGAGCTTGTCAATGCCCATCCAATCTGAGATCACGAAGCCCTGCAGTCAAGATGCAACAAAGGCAATGAACATCTGAAGACTAAAAACAAGAGTCCAACTGATGAAGAACACCTGAATTTGAGCGTACAAGAACACCACGAGTGCAATTGTTTTCCACTCTTTTTTACCTGGAATTTGAGCGTGTCTTTGAGGTATCCGGTGACTAGATCTTGGTTGGCGTGCATCTTGACCCCGTTCCAGCTGGAGTAGGAGATCATGACGGTGGAGACGCCCTTGGCGAGAGCGTCGAAGTAGGCCGGCATGTGGATGTTCATGAGGCCCTCGCGGTTGATGACGGTGTTGTCCTCGTTGATGCCGTTCACCGTGCCTCCGTCGCCGACGAAGTGCTTTGCGCAGGCCACCACCTTGTTCCTGCAGTTCCCAGAAGTATCTGTACTGAATTCTTTCTACATAGTGTGATGGTGGCAGTTCCAAAGCGTTGATGGACTGGATCTTACTTCCCGGCGACGAAAGGCATGCCGCTGGTGAAGTTCTTGGGGACGTCGCCCTGCAGGCCCGGGATGAGCTCCGTCATGGACTGCACGATCCGGGGGTCCTCGCTGTAGCTCTCGTAGCACCGCCCCCACCTCGGATCTCTGCACACCTGTTCACCATAAGGGAAGCAGCAGCCAGCAGGTGAGTGACAGATGGTGTCGGCAAACGCGATCCGAAATTCAGGAAGTGTTGCTCGGAGATTTTAGTTTACCGCGATGCACGGCGCGAAGGCGTACTGGATGCCGGTGGCTCTGACTTCGAGCGCGGTGGCCTCGCCGATCCTCTTCACCAGGTCGGGGTCCCGGGTGGCGCCGAGGCCGACGTTGTGGGGGAAGATGCTGGCGCCGTAGACGTTGTTGTTGCCGTGCACTGCGTCGATGCCGTAGATCATCGGGATGCCGAGCCGCGTCGACATGCAGGCCCTCTGGAAGCCGTCCACCATGTCCGCCCACTCCTTGGCCGTCGCGCCCTTCCGCGGCACGCTGCCGCCGCCGCTCAGCAGGCTGCCGATGAAGTTGTCCCTGAGCACCTCCGGCGTCGCGACCAGCCGCTCGATCTGCGTCATCTGCCCCACCTTCT